CATTAATATCATGGTCATCGAAAGTTGATAGTCTTTGACGAGAACCGATAACCATGAATTCGGTTTTGGCAATGTTCAAACTTAATTTATTAACATTAAGCCACTCTTTAAGTTTTTCAAGTTCAGTATTCATAACTCTTTCGAGGTCGTCAAAGTTATTACTTTGAAAACTTATATTCGTATCATCGGCAAACATTCTTGGTAACCCCTCATTCAAACATTCCGGTAGGTCGTTGATGTAGACCAAAAACAAAAGAGGACCAATAATAGAGCCCTGTGGGACGCCATAAGTTATTGGACAAGTTTCAGAAAGATTCCCATTAACAAAGCACCTCTGTTTTCGATTTGATAAATAAGAGTGAAACCATGTCAAAGCAATTTCATCTACTCCATAGTGTTTTAATTTAAGTAGAAGTATGTTATGGTCTATGGTGTCGAAAGCTTTCTTCAAGTCAATGAAAACAACTCCATTTAGGAGACTGTTGTCAATATTGACACTCCAACTATTAGTAGTCTCCAATAGGGCAGTAAGAGTGCTGTGATTTGGTCGAAACCCCGATTGATATTTGGACAATAAATCATTGCTCGTCAGGTAACGATAAATTTGTTCGTGCACTAATTTTCCGAATATTTTGGCAACAGCCGAAATAATTGATATAGGTCGGTAATTGTTTAAATCATTTCTTGCTCCGTTTTTGAAGACAGGAACAACTTTAGCAATTTTCCAATCATCTGGATAAATTCCCCAGTTGAGAGAAAGGTTGAATATTTTTGTCAACGAAGGGGCCAAAATATCAGCAGCTAACTTCAAGATTTTTCCAGGAATGCCGTCAAGACCAGTGGCCTTGTTAGAATTGACGTTTTTAAGTAAACAAATTACATCTTGAATTTCTATTTCACTGAAAGAAAATACTGCGTTTGTAGGTTTAATAAAAGAGATGGGATCAATATTTGAGTGTTCAATGTTGCTTGCAAGATTTTCACCTATCGAAGTAAAGTATGAATTAAAAGCATCCGCAAAACAGGTGGATCAGTTATCACTCTGTCTGGATGTTTAATTTCTTTAACTGTAGCTACGTTACTAATTTTACGAGAACTTAATTCATTTATGATCCTCCAAATTTGCTTCGGATCTCTCTTAGTAACATCAATTTTGTTTTTAAAGTATTCACATTTGGCTTGCTTTATAATATTATTTACTTCATTCCGAGCATTTTTGTATTGATTCCAGTAAAGAGTATTTCGTGTCTTGTCATATTGTTTTTTCAAATAGTCCCTTGCTCTCATTTTTTGGACAACCGCAGAGGTTATCCATGGAGACTTCTTTTTACCTATACGTTTCTTCTTAATAGGGGCATGCTTATCTAGGACTTGTGTAAGGTTTGTTAACCATTGAGACCACATAACATTAGGATCGTCTGACGAGCAAGAATTATTCCAATCAATCGTAGTTAAGTCGTTCAAGAATATGCTTTCGTTAAAATGCTTTAATTGTCGTTTATGAACAAACAAATTTACAGTTTTTCCCTGCCAACTGAGAACTTTTAAATAAAAAACCAAGCTAGCTTATACTAATTTACGAAGGAGGATGTTATTAACTGCACGTGTTAACATAATTTCAAGGTTTCTAGATTCTCAACTATACACGAACTAACTGTACCTCGAAAACAAGGGCCGAAGATTCCGTCCGCAGTTCGTTAATTTATTTAACTTGTAAGATATCTAAAATACGACTCTAAAGTGAATCTCACCCCTATGTATACGCCAGAGTATTGTGAATATTACCACCCTTTCCTGAATACCAACCCCTGGTATGTCTCACACGGAGTGAGAGAACTACATAATTAAAGTTGCGCAGTAAAACTGTTGTTATATATCAGGCACAATACAGGTTTTTTCGTGAACCTTATGGACTATTTTTATAATTTAAGTAGGAGTGTCCATCTTTTATGTTGTGTTATGATTGTTATCTCCTATAGTTACCATATATACATGATCTTATCATAAAAAGTTATGCTGTCAACCCAGCAGATATTTGCAATCATCCTGTGGCTCAAAAGTTTGATTCAGAGCAAAAGGATGTGAGAAAAATTATACGAATTGATCTTTACACTTCTTGACCATGCAAATTTCATATTTTTTTCTACGACGCCCTGTAATTTGTTAGAATCTCTAAGTGAACCTAGGCTCGATCAAAACAAGTACGTCGCATGAAGACTGAGAGTATTATGAACAACTCGAAAAAATTCTTTCATATTATTGCTCTGCCAATATCACCGCTCTTTTGCTCTGCATGATACTCTAATATTCATGCAATTATAGAACTATAATATTTGGTGAACATAGAATACTAAATATTCAATCGATTGGTCAAGTTTGCTGCTTCAATTCTTCAAGTTTCTATTAACCCGGAATTGAAGAACCGAGGAATGGATGATTCAACCACTACATTAGCGAAATTCGCAACAGCAACAATTTTTGTAATGTTACCAACGTTGCATGCAGATGTGCTGATAAAAATATATCTACTGAAGAAAATGCCGTTGTTTTATTATCGAAAAGCATGTCATTGGTTGAGAAACTTTGTAGAAATGGGTAAATAAACAAGCAACACTAAGGTATTCACGTCTTGTGTATACCATACGATGCAGTGTCTGTCATTTTAAGTGCCTTTATTGTATCTCTCGGCATCCTTCATTTCTCAATTCTTCTACATGTCAGTCATATAGCACACGAACGGTTAATGAAAATGAATAAAATGTTTCATACCTTATTTTTACATCGCAGCGGTTTCAGCAGTACCTCAGCTGACTCAATTCTAACGAGTTCCCCAGTGAGAATCGGGTAAATAAAGACATGCCCTACTTTTACATTCATAGCGTGTAGGAATTTACCATGCACAGTGTGTTCTCCCAATTATTTTTTTAACTTCTATAAGATTTTTATGATATTATCTCACCTCTAAGTATACACCACAGTATTGTGAGTGTTAATGACCACACTCTTGAATACCAGTTTTTTTCCCGAACATTCTGGACTATAATTGTAAAATTTAATTTGTAATTAATGAGGTGCAAAGATTGATTGATAAACTTGGGCAATTCAGTAATTAAGTTTCCATCTGTTTCATAAAAGACGCTGCTAGGTTTTCTGTCCTCCAGTAATTTACACTTTACAATTTTATTTTGCCGATTGCCAAGAAAAGAAAGAATCACGCTATCAATGTCCAGTGTGTAGGATGTCCGGTATGGGCATTTATTCCGGCTATGTAGACGGTAAATACCATAAATACACTGCACTGAAACTGAGCTATACATATACAGTGTAAGCCTGCGACACAAAAAATAAAAATCGTGAGTAATAACCACAGTAGTGCAAGTAGTTATGTACATATGTACAACTGTTACGTATTTTTCTTACGCAAACTATATCATAAAGCAAGCAAGCCTATTGTTTGGTGACTCGCGTATCATTTGGAATGCACCTAATTTTAGAGTAAATCCAAAAAAGAAGACAGGTTATTAATTACGTCAGCACTCTGACTAAAAAGTCAGAGTCATTTCATAAGATCGATTTGTAGAGATGTACGATAGACATACATTTAACACAGGCGATCTTGAAATTTCTCTGTTTTTTATTGAGAAGATAAGTATCGCGTATATACCAGTGCTATATAATTAGTGACTACAAAGTTTCAATACAAAGCATCAGATAGATATTTAGACTTATAAAATGCCAAAAGGTCTCAATGCTTTAAACATTTTTTAGTCTAATTTGAGATGTTAACTTTTACTGGTTGTTGCAAACAAGGCCCTTGTTGTTCATTGTTTGATTTTTAGAAGCGTAATTTTATTTGATCGCACAAGAAGAACCTGCAAATTTCAAGTATTCTTACTTGGTGTCATGCCGAATTGTATTCAAATTGCGAGACAATGGAGGGCCAATTTACAGTTAATTTGACCGCTATCTTTTTCGCCAAAAATTCTATAATTACATCTTGTGGGATACAGATGCCTAATGTAGAAACACAAGGCGTTTGTTCCACGCCCCTAAAAAAATATAATTTATCTGTTTATAGACAGACTGACTCTGTTGTTCAACGTAATTCAGATAATGATCAAAAATTAAATAATTTGTAGGATATAGCTATATACATTAAATGTTAAGGTGAATTGATTTATATTCTCAGATTCAGTATGCATGCATATGTTACTTACTAAAAAGGTTGTTACTCCTCTATATCAAACTTGCAAACAATAGGCCAGTAAGCGGTGAGGTGTGTGGGCTCATATGCTTTAGTTTTCAGTTCATTATTTAGATCAGTGTTCCTCAGACCTCAATTCGAGAACGACAATAAATTATGACGATTTTTTTTATTTTATCAACCAACTACACAACCTAATACAGATACAACCCGAACACAATTATAAAAATTAATCACTTATTACCACTTAGTGTGAATACTTGTAAAATATTGGTGAATATTTAATACATAAGTTTTGCATTGTATCATACCAACAGTTAAAAGAAAATAATGGCGATCAAAATCATTCTACAATATTGATGAACTTTATCGCGTTTGGGAACACATCTACCCGTCTTTCAACCTTCTAAAAGGCGATGTAAATAAAGCTAGAGTATTTACGAGCAGCTCTGACGTGGAAAACTGGCGATGCCTGCCAACAACAAGCAGAAGTTGGATCTGTATATAAGGTGCCTAATATGCTCAAAGTATACAATTTCTTACACAATTTCAATCGTAAAAATATTTTTATACTTGGGTATCTCGAGTTTTCCTCAAATTTTCAATGGTTAAAGATATACAAGCAGTTTGTTTATTTACAAATTAATTGAATCGGGAAATATACCCGGGAAAATGCGCGTATCGTGTACTTCACGCTATTTCCTACCAGCGCATGCGAGGATAAATGTCACGGTGTAAATGTCCCCTCTGTTGTCCTACTAACTATGCAGTGCACAAAAGAAGTCTCTCGAAAGAGTTATACTGGGGATGCTTCTCCTAAATCTGCCGGTTTAATGAAATAAACAGGTTTTCGTAGATTGGTGACATAATTAGGAACTTGTCTTCTTCCGTCCGGCTGTTGGGAATCATAGAATCTTTGGGAAAATATATTGAGCATCTCTGACAGGCTCATGTCAAATGCATGATTTCGTAACACGTCATCCAATACCCTAGCGGCAAACGATCCTTCTGCTGGGTCTCTTGGGTATTCATATCCATCAACACTGGCATAGCCAACCATCACGTCATATGTCATCGGAATATAAAATGGTACAACAGGTCTTGCTTCATCACGTAAAATGAGTTCTTCTTCAAGGCAGTTGGTTATGAAAAAAAGTTTTGGCTTGCCATGCAAAGTGGCTATTCCTTCAAATGCTGAAACGATTTCTTGAACGGTAATGGTTCCACCATCCGTTGTACGTATTTCTCCTTTTATTCCATGACTTGAAATTAAAACGATGCATGCGTCATATTCACTGAAATCTTGCCAAATGACGTCTTGGAAAAGCTGTCGCATTTGAACCAAGGTAAGATTATTTGTTGGGAGCCTTTCATAGACAGTAAATCTAGCGAGTTGACAAAATTCTCTTATTCTATACAAGTCACGTTCAGCGCCAACGCGTGGTGGTAGTCCACTTTCGGGAAGAAATTCTCTGTTGTCGATTAATACAGCAAAACAACGTCTCACTTCAAAACGTCCAGCCATGAGTTCTGACACAGATTAAACTAAAGGTTGAAAGAAATTACTGAACAAATGTTGACATAATAGTCATGCAGTTTAGATTAAAACCAAGCTTGTACTAAAATTAATTACGAATGAAGATGAGATTAACTGCGAGTGTTAACATAATTTCAAGGGAGGTCTCCAGATTTTCAATTGCACCAACTCGTCACTACATCAATCCTTACCGCAGTTAGTCAAAATTTATTTAACTTGTAAGTTTTTTAAAATGTTATTTCTTAAATGGATCTCACCTCAATGTATACCCCACAGTATTGTGAATGCTACCACTCTCTTGAATACCAGCAACTGGTATGTCACACATGGAGAGAACTAAATGATTATACAAAATTGTGCAGTAAAAGGGCTTTTATTTATGTTTAAATTTGAAAGGCACAATAAAGGTTTCGTTCGTGAACGTTCTGGGCTAATTATATAATTTAGGTGGGAGTTAATCTAATATGTTGACATCTGCATGAGGTCTCAAGAGTTTTATCTTGATTAATATCTCCTACTGACAACCGAGCAGATATTTTGCAATCAGTTTTGCATCCTGTGGTTCAAAAGTTTCATGTTTTTTTTACCACGATTGTTAGAATTTCTAAGTGAACCTAGGCTCGATCACAACTGGTATGTCGCAACGTCGAACAAAGACTGAGAGCATTATAAACAGCGTTTATTCTAAGGAAATTTCCTTATAAAAGTTTGACTCCATTAAGGGGCGGGAGGACTAATTGAGGTATTTACATCTAAACTAATTGAGGTATTAATTAATTCCTGATGAATTACTTCGAAATGAATTATTTTATTTAAGAAAGACTAAATCTACTCAGTCTTTCAAGTATGCTTGTTTTATTGAGCCCTGCTGAAACTCGGCTGAAACTATAGCCTCACGGCTCCCCCCTCTTTAAGGTCTGGCTACGTCCATGCCGACTTTAAGGTTGTCATCTGCATGAGGCACAAAGATTTCAAGCTTGATGTATACTTCCCAGTTAACATATCTCAGTTATAAAGCTAATAGGGCCAGGATTTAGACAAAACACGGCTTTTAGTTCGTCAGGTGTATTACACAGTGATGAAACCTTTAAAGGGCCTGGATTACCATAACAGCTGGTGCCAGTTAGCTAATCAATAAAACAATTAGCACAATGTAGAGAAATTGATGTAGTTTATCTTTGAACCTGAACAAAACGTATTTACTAAAACCATTGAACGAGCTCTTTGGTTTCTGAATACTAATGATTTTCGATAACTAACAAATCTAGTTATTAATCAATCGTATCAATTTTGTATTGCTGCCACATATAACGTGAGAATTTGGAGTAAAAGTTGCTCTTAAGAAAGATATCAATGTCTGATTATAAGTTAGATTTAGTTATAGGCGAGGGTAAATCGATTATGATTTTTGGCACTTCACTCGGATGTAGTTACGTTCTATAAGAAACAATCTTATACTAAATTCACGAATGAAGTTGTGCGGTTAACTGCATGTCAAGTGAAGATGCGCGTGTTAACGTAATTTCAAGGCAGGTTTCTCGTTTCTGTATGCATGACGGTACCTCAAAAATAAGGTCGAAGATTAGTCCGCAGTTCCTCGAAATTTTTTTAACAATATTACCTCACCTCTGTATACGCCAGAGTATTGTAAATGTTGCCACACTTTTGAGTACCAGCCACTATAGCTGTTATGTCACACACAGAGTGAGAAAACTATGTATTAAAGTTTGTTTTTAGAAGGCACAATTAGGGTTTTCTCGCGAACATTCTGGACTAAGTGTAAAATTTAAATTGTCCATCTTTTTGTTGATATCTGCATGAGGCCTCGAAAGTTTTCATGAATATTTACGGAATTATTTACGGAAAGCTCTAACAGCTCATGAGATCAACGTCCCTCTTATCTAAAGCCCGATTGAGCTCCAGGAGTCTCATATTGACTTGTGTGGTTAAAGTTACAGCGAAATATTTGAACGCTTTCACTGACATGAGCCGAGTTACCGAGATTTGACGAAGCGTAACATGGCTTTGAGTTATTGAGATAAGCAAATATCGTGATCCTGGTAGTCGTGTAGTTGTCACAACAATAGCAACTCGTTATCATAGCATTCTTCTCAAGCAGAATGCTTTACTGAAAAATGCCCTATTTAATTTTTTATTATATTACTCAAACTAACGCAATGAACAATATATTCAATATATTGTTTTTTAAAATAAGTACCCATTATTTCGTAGTTTTCTTGCCAGTGCTTGTCAATTCTTCAAAATTTCTTTGTAATTGATAAAACAGGCAAATGCCTCAAGTCATCGAAAGGTTTCTCCGCAAAGGCAGTGAATTTGCAGTTTTCTTGTTAATCATACCCTGCATTGTGTGTCATTCTCAGTGATAGATTTACATGCATGCATTTGTTAAGTACGTATGTACCTATAACAAATTATATTAACATTTAATAAAGATAAGTAACATGTTGTTTCATCCCTGAATTTTGTATTGCAACAGTCCTTCATTTCAGTATTACCTATTGTCATCTCAGTTTCTAAAAATTCCCTACTGAGAATCAGCCGCTGACGGAAATCAATTAAAAGTTTTCACGAAATAAAAGAGGCGCAAAGATTGATTGATAAACGTCGGCAATTAATTCGTCTAAAGTTTCCATCTCACTATTAAAAGACGCTGCTATAGATGTGCTGATAAAAAATATCTAACATTCTAAGCGAAGAAATTTGAGTACCATGCAGCCACTATAGCTTGTATGTCACACACAGAGTGAGAAAAATATTTATTAAAGTTTATTTTTAGAAGGCATAATTGGGATTTTCTCACGAACATTCTGGGCTAATTGCAAAATTGAACTTGTCCCACTTTTTGTTGATATCTGCATGAGGCCTCAAAAGTTTTCATGAATATTTAAGGAATCATTACCATTATTATTATTTACGGAAAGATCTAACAGCTCATGAGATCAACTTAGCACTTATCTAAAGCTCTATTGCTCTTTATAAGTTAGCCCATATATGCTGTTATATAGCTAAGTGATAATAACAGCTCGCCAAAGTTAATTCCTTCATATTACTTTGCCTCGTAAATTTCAGCGACTTTTTGCTCTGATAATTAACCTATACCCTTTTGTAAAATTTGCACAATCGGCATTTGTGGAATTATATGACTTGAGAGCAATACGTACATATAATAATGCTAATTTGATTGATAAACTTTGCTCTGTCATATTCTTACCTACGTTTCTACGCACTTAAAAACAAAGAGCTAGCAGCATGAACGGCTTCGTCAAACCATCCAAATATCGAAAACAGTATGTTGTAATGTCACCAACGGTGCAAAACCTGTCACATGAATAATAACTGACAGAAATATATCGAATTAAAGAAAATACCGTCAAGACTTTTTTATTGAAAAATGTATGTATTTCAAGCTATAGCTAATTCTTGGCATTAATGACCTTCAGGAGTCTCATATTGACTTGTGTGGTTAAAGTTATAGCGAAATATTTTGAGCCGAGTTACCGAGAATTGACGAAGCGTAACATGGCTTTGAGTTATTGAGATAAGTAAATATCGTGATCCTGGTAGTCGTGTAGTTGTCACAACAAGAGCAACTCGTTATCATAGCATTCTTCTCAAGCAGAATGCTTTACTGAAAAATACCCTATTTAATTTTTTATTATAACTCAAACTAACGCAACGAACAATATACTCAATATATTGTTTTTTAACATAAGTAGCAATGCGTTCGTGGTTTTCTTGCCATCGCTTGTCAATTCTTCAAAATTTCTTTGTAATTAATAAAAACAGGCAAATGCCTCAAGTCATCGAAAGATTTCTCCGCAAAGGCAGTGAATTTTCTTTGACAAATTTTCTTCTTAATCATACCATCAGTAGCAGCGTCTTTTAATAAACAGATGGAAACTTTAGACGAATTAATTGCCGAAGTTTATCAATCAATCTTTGCGCCTCTTTAATTTCGTGAAAGCTTTTAATTGATTTCCATCAGCGGCTGATTCTCAGTAGGGAATTTGTAAAAACTGAGATGACTGAAAGATCTGAGATCTGAGATGAAATGAAAGATTGTTGCAATACAAAATTCAGGGAAAAAACATCATATTAATACTCGTCTTTATTAAATGTTAATATAATTTGTTATAGGTACGTACGTACTTAACGAATGCATGCATGTAAATCTATCAATCACGATCATTGTGGCACTGAGAATGACAAATAATGCATGGTATGATTAAGAAGAAAATTTATCAATGCAAATTCACTGCCTTTGCAGAGAAACCTTTCGATGACTTCAAGCATTTGCCAGTTTTATCAGTTACAAAGAAAATTTAATGAATGGACAAGCGATGGCAAGAAAACAACGAAATAATGAATACTTTTAAAAAACAATATATTGGATACATTGTTCATTGCGTTGGTTTGAGTTACAATAAAAAATTAAATAGGGTATTTTTCTGTAAAGCATTCTGCTTGAGAAGAATGCTATGGTAACGGGTTGCTATTGTTGTGACGACTGCACGACTACCAGGATCACGATATTTACTGATCTCAATAACTCAAAGCCCATTTCACGCTTCGTCAACTCTCCGTATTCGACTCATGTGAAAACGTTCAAAATATTTCCCTGTAACTTTAACCACAAAAGTCAATATGAGACTCCTGAAGGTCATTAATACCAAGTATTAGCCATAGCTTGAAATGCATGAACTTTTCAATAAAAAATCAACGGCACTTTCTTCAATTGGATATATTTCTATCAGTTATTATTCATGTGACTGGTTTTGCACCGTTGGTGACATTACAACATACTGTTTTCGATATTTGGATGGTTTGACGAAGCCGTTCATGCTGCTAGCTCTTTGTTTTTAAGTGCGTAGAAACGTAGGTAAGAATATGACAGAGCAAAGTTTATCAATCAAATTAGCATAGCAGCACCCTATGTACGAATTGCTCCCAAGTCATATAATTCCACAAAATTAATGCAGATTTAGCAAATTTTGCAAAAGTGGATAGGTTATAATGCAGAGCAGAAGGTCGCTGAAATTTACAAGGCAAAGTAATATGAAGAAATTAACGTTGTCGAGCTGCTATTATCACTTATATAACAGCATATATACTAACTTATAATGAGCAATCCGGTTTTAGATAAGTAAATAAGTTGATCTCATGAGCTGCTATAGCTCTCCGTAAATCATAATAATCAGGTAATAATACCGTAAATATTCATCAAGACGTTGGAGGCCTCATGCAGATATCAACAAAAAGATGGACAAATTAAATTTTACAATTCGTCCAGAATGTTCGCGAAAAAATCCTTAATTGCGACTTCTAAAAATAAACTTTAATACATAGTTCTCTCACTCAGTGTGTGACATACCAGTGGCTGGTACTCAAGAGTGTGGTAACATTCACAATACTCTGGCGTATACATAAAGGTGAGATAATATCTTAAAAATTTTACAAGTTTAAAAAATTTCGAGGAACTGCGGACGGAATATTCGACCCTATTTTAGAGGTACCGTCATGCATACAAAGACAAGAAACCTACCTTGAAATTAGGTTAACACGCGCATCTTCATTCGTTAGTTAACCGCAACTTCATTCGTGGATTTAGTATAAGATTGTTTCTAACTTAAAAATATATATTATTTTCATGTCAACATTTTTTCAGTAAGTCTTTCAACTTTTAGTCTAATATGTATCAGAAGTCATGGCTGCACGTTTTGAAGTGAGACATGGTTTTGCTGTGTTAATCGACAACAGAGAATTTCCTCCCGAAAGTGGACTACCACCACGCGTTGGCGCTGAACGTGACTTGCATAGAATAAGAGAAATTTGTCAAATCGCTGGATTTACTGAGTATGAAGGTCTCCCAACAAATAATCTTACTTTGGTTGAAATACGACAACTTCTCCAAGACGTCATTCGGCAAGATTTCAGTGAATATGACGCCCTCGCCATCTTCATATCAAGTCATGGTATAAAAGGAGAAATACGCACAACAGATGGCGGAACTATTACCGTTCAAGAAATCGTTTCAACATTTGAAGGAATAGCCACTTTGCAAAGCAAGCCAACACTTTTCTTCATAACTAATTGCCTTGAGAGAGATATCATTTTACGTGACGAAGCAAGACCTGTTGTACCATTTCATGTTCCAAATACATATGATGTGTTGATTGTTTATGCTAGTGTTGATGGATATGAATACCCAAGGGATCCAGAAAATGGATCGTTTGCCCCTATGCTATTGAATGAAATATTTCACAATCATGAATTTGAAGACAACAGTTTGACGGAAATGCTTTCTATAGGTTTCCAAAGAGGTTCTAATAATACGGAGCAGCCGGACGGACGTAAACAAGTTATGTGTTTTGTCAGCAGTTTAACAAAACCTGTTTACTTCATAAGGCCATGATTACAGGAGAAGCACCCTCAATATAACACTTTTGAGAGTCTTCCCTACATGGTGCACTTTATTTATCACACGCAACTTATTTAGCACATTGTAAACACTTAGTAGCAAGTATTGATGTAAGCAAGGTTAAGCAGTTTGTTATTCATCGAGCATTCCAAGCATAAATAATTAGGCTTATTGAGATATAAGGCTATAAGCTACGAACTTGAGTTTGTTATCTATACACATAAAGTGAAGTATGGTTTTAATTTGTCTTTATATGCACTTTTACTAGCTATCGACGTTATTATAATAAATGCCGCCGACACTTGTGTATTTGGTTTTAAAATTACAGCTTAATTAATAATGATATCAAAGAATTTTAGTTCTCGCATTTTTATTTACCCGAAGTCGCATCTTTATTTACCCGATTCTCACCGGGGAATTCGTAAGAATTGAGTCAGCTGAGGTATAGGTATATATATAAACAGGCATGTACAAGAATTGCCGATAGAAACAATGATATTTGTTAATGTCATATGAATGTATGTAGTCTCGGTAGATCTAAAAGGGGCTGTCATGCATGCACTACAACTCGCAGAAGGCAGAGGCACTGAAAATGACAGAATTGTACGGTATACACAAGACGTGAAAACCTGAGAGTTGCAGTTGTAGGCTAAATTCTGCAGTTAAATAGCCCAATTCTACAAAGAATGCCTCAACCAATGACGTGCTTTTCAATATGAAACACGGCATTTTCTTCAATTAGATATATTTTTATCCGAGTACATCTGCATGCAACGTTGGTAACATTACAAAATACTGTTGCGAATTTTGCCAATGAAATGGTTGCATGAAATTATCATCCATGCATTCATCTGTTCTTTAATTGCTGGTAGAAACTTGAAACGAAGAGCTTTGAACCTTTATTGTCCTTTTTAAATAAGCTAATTAAAAGCCTTTACTGCGCATGCGCAAGTTTACAACCAGTGCAGTCACAATTTCAATATGCATACTTTTTAATAATCATACGTTTTACTGAATAAGCCTGGACAAAGAACATTTGAAAAGAATATATTAAATATTCCTCCCTCCCCTCAATAGAGTCAAACTTTTCTAAGGCAATTTCCTTTGATATTTGCGCTGGAATAAACGCTGTTTACAATATTCTCAGTTTTTGTGCGACGTTGCGACGTTCTAGTCGCCTAGGTTCACTTAGAAATTCTAACAATCGTGGTGAAAAATATGAAATTTGTATTGTCAAGAAGATGTACACAAAAAACCACCTATCGTAAAACTCAATTCGTGTAATTTTTCTCTATTCCTTGCTCTGAATCAAACTTTTGAACCACAGGATACAAAACTAATTGCAAAATATCTGCTCGGATGTCAGTAGGAGATATTAATCAAGATAAAACTCTTGAGACCTCATGCAGAAGTCAACATAAAAGATTAACTCCCTAATTATATAATTAGTCCAGAACGTTCACGAAAGAAACCTTTATTGTGCCTTTCAAATTCAAACATCAATAAAAGCACTTTTACTGCGCAACTTTATATAATTATTTAGTTCTCTCCGTGTGTGACATACCAGATGCTGATGTTCAAGAAAGTGGTAGCATTCACAATACTGTGGCGTATACAACGAGGTAAGATCCATTTAGGAATTAATATTTTAAAAAACTTACAAGTTGAATAAATTTTGACTAACTGCGGTATGGATTCATGTATTGACGAGTTGGTGCAATTGAAAATCTGGAGACCTGCCTTGAAATTAAGTTAACACGCGCAGCAATCTCATCCTCATTCGCGTAATTTAATAGTATAAGCTTGGTTTTTAATTTAAACTGCATGAGTAACGAGCATTGTGTTGAGAATTGGACAGATTTTTGTATTCGCTTTGTTCGTTATTTAATCGCTCCTTGGTTTAATCAACAGAAAAATGAAATTTACAAAGCAATGATTACTGGCGGGATTGCTGTCATCGCCCTGATCCCAGGTGCAGTTAGTAAGTACGTGGTGTTGTGTCACTGTTCTGGTTTTGTGACACCTGCATGGCCTGTCGTATATTTTGGTCTACTTCAATTATTTGGTTCCAGTCACCTTGTACCGGCTCATGCAGGCTGAACTAACCGAATTAAGATTGTTTGTAGCTTTTTCTTTATTACACGGAATATTCAACATCCTTGCTCAGGTACGTTTCCTTTAATTGCTCAAACATATCAGTTTACTTCATTTAAACAGGTTGCAGCGTGGCAGCGTCTTTACAAACTTAAATTTGCCTCAAATGTCGAATAACAACTGCCCAAAAAAGACATTCTCTGCCCTTCGTGTCCTGAACATGAAAATCACGATCACCGCGCTATTCGTGAATTAGGTTGATTTATTCAGTACTGTTTGCTCGAAAGCATCTAATATGTATCATATTATGACTCATACAATCATGTCTATGCATGATACTTTGACTAATGTTCTGAACAACAGAGCGGACATTTGCATTGTGACATTTATCTGCGCATGCGCTGGTAAGATGATAGCATGGAGTACACGAGACGCGCGATTTTCGCGGGTATTGCTGCGGGAAATTCAATTAATTTGTAAATAAACAAACTGTCTGTATATCTTTAACCATTGTATATTCGCACTAAGTCGTTATAAGTGATTAATTTTTATAATTGTGTTCGTGTTGTATCTGTATTAGGTTGTGTAGTTGGTTGATAAAATAAAAACAATCGTCATATTGTCGTTCTCGAATTGAGGTCTGAGGAACACTGATCTAAATATAGTGAACTGACAACTGAACCGCATGAGCCCACACACCTCACCGCTTACCGGCCTATTGTTTGCAAGTTTGATATAGACGAATAACAACCTTTTTAGTAAGTAACATATGCATGCATACTCAATGTGAGTATATCAATGAATTCACCTTAATATTTAACAACATAACTATGTCACTACAAATGGACGACTTGCGCTTTAGACTAATTTCTTACCTCGGCGATAAAAAGGACATTTTCTGAAAGAGCTCACTAAAATAAGTAAAACTGCCAAGTTTGACCGCGAATTGTTGTAAAATACGGAAAATATAGCCATGCGAAGTTGTCGATTTTTGTATACTTTTGTATTACGGCCGGAAGTTTGTAACTAATTTAGTTACACATTTCCGCACGTAATACAAAAGTATACAAAATATGCCAACTTCGCATGGCTATATTTTCCGTATTTTACAAAATTTCGCAGCCAAACTTTTCATTTGCACTAACTTAAGTAAGATCTTCCTAGCTGTGGTGATTTATTTCCTTCTAGTTATTTCCATAAAATTTATAATCAGTCTAAAGCGCAAGTCGTCCATTATTTAATTTTTTATCATTATCTGAACTGCATTGAACAACCGAGACAGTCTGTCTGTAAACAGATAAATTATATTTTTTTAGGTGCGTGAAACAAACGCCTTGTGGTGTCTACATTAGGCATCCGTATCCCACAAGATGTAATTATTTTCTTTATATAGTTTTCTTAATATAGAATCTTTGGTGAAAACGATAGCCGTCAAATTACTGACTGTCAATTGTCCCTCGATTGTCTGAAAATTTGAATACAACATATAAAATTTGCAGGATATTTCTTGTGCGAATAAATAAAATTATTCTTCTAACATGGAATCATAAATCATACCAAACCATGAACAACAAGGGCCTAGCTCGTTTGCAGCAAGCAGTAAAAGTTAACATCACAAATAAGACTAAACAATATTCTGAAGCATTAAGACATTTCAAATGCATGTCCTTCATGTGTCTCTGTAAACCAATCTTATGAAATGAAACTTTTTTGTCAGAGTGCTGACGTAATTATTAACCTGTCTTCTTACGCATTTATTCTAAAATTAGGTGCATTGCAAATGTTATGCGAGTGACCAGACAATAGACTTGCTTTATCATATGGTTTGCGTAAGAAAAATACGTAAGAGTTGTATGGACATAATTACTTGGGCTACTGTTGTAGGCTTGCAGTGTATATGTATAGCTCAGTTTCAGTGCAGTGTATATTTATGGTATTTACCGTCTACATGCATAGCCGGAGTTAATGCCCATACCGGGCGTCTTGGTATACACACAGGACGTTGATAGGGTGATCCTTCCTTTTCTTGGCAATCGTCAAACTAACTTGAAATTGTAAATTGTAAATTACCGGCGGACAGAAAACCTAGCAGCGTCTTTTAATAGTGAGATGGAAACTTTAGACGAATTAATTGCCGACGTTTATCAATCAATCTTTGCGCTTCTTTAATTTCGTGAAAGCTTTTAATTGATTTCCGTCAGCGGCTGGCTGATTATCAGTAGGGAATTTGTAAAAACTGAGATGACTGTTGCAATACAAAATCAGGGATAAAACAACATATTACTCGTCTTTATTAAATGTTAATATACTTGTTATAGGTACATACGTACTTAACGAATGCATGCATGTAAATCTATCACGATCATTGTGGCACTGAGAATGACAGACAATGCATGGTATCAGGGGCGGATCTAGGATTTTTTTTACGTTAGTCAAAATTTTCGTAGGCCAATTTTCGTCGCCAATCGTCCTCCCCCCACCAGATTTATGAAATTTGTGAGGCTTTCCAAGCTTAATGCCAGGTTATAGTCTGCTAAATTCCTAGGGCACAGCTATTGAATGCCACAAAACATTGTGTAGGCACTGAAATGGAAGGTTTAAAAAGGGACGTTTTGTGGGTATAAAATGCCTGTTTTTATAGCAATAGTCAAATCTCGATAATGGTAGAAATTTACCCCTTCGAACAGACCTCTCAAGAAATTTTCAGTTCAAAATATTATTGTCTAGTGAAATGTAAGAACACAGGTTTATTACATTATCATTGAATTGAATCAAAGCGAAATTGCTTTATATTTATATATGTGACCTTCCACGGGAAAACATACGTTAACGCTATTTCGTTCGTTCGAAAATATCGTTCGTTATCCGTTCGTTTGCCGTTCAAACGCTTGAAGCGTTCGTTGAAACGATTTTCGAGATCGTTCATCGTTCGAAATTGCCCGTTCGAACGCTTAGGAAAAAACGTTTGAAAATTGGTCCGAAAGCGTTTAACCGTTTGATTTACCGTTCGTTGAAACGTTTGCCGGAATTTCGTTCAATCGCATTGGATTTGGTTCAACATATTAGATTAAACATTTGCAATGCTACAACTTTGCAGAAGAAGCGCAGAATGTGCTACACAGAAATACTCCCAGAAACGTATTCAGTTCCTTAGTATAGAAGGCTTGTAAAGGAAATAGTGGGGTTATATCAATCTAGCCTAATCGAATGCTATTTTGTGCGCTTCATGTTATGGTTTATGCTTAGCGTCATGCAGACAGAAGGCTATTAAGATTCAGTGCATGCAATTATTCCATTAGCGTCAAATTTCACGTCTTAAGCTTCTCTCAAAAAATTATCGTTTTTTGAATTTCGGTAATGCACTAAATGGTTAGAATTTGTGCTTTACTATACTTCTGTAGCTTCCATAAGCCAAATTTCACCGCGCACCCAAACAACTCGCAAGCCATATATTAGCATTACGAGCCATAATATGCCTTGGCAAGGTGCTAATTAAGTTGCATAATTGTCGGAAGTCTCTAAATGTATGTAAACAGACAAAACCAGATTTTAAAATGAATTGAGGGATTTTGCGTGTTACATATTAATATCGTACTTTTAAACCATGTGTATATATAGCTAATTTATTTACATCTGATAAACTTATCTGGCCTCCGTACGAAGCAGCTACTGATTAAAATCTATTCAAAATTAAGGACCGCATCCTAGGACGGACCTTTCAGCTTGAAATTCGTTGTCTTTAATGCAGTCTGACATAGCTACAAATTATACAACAATTGAAATACCCTAGGTAATATTTGAAGACATAAATACAGTGACCTAACGCGCGTTCGGTAGGGTTACGACGAGAACTAAGAGATCCTCATTTATTGGAGGCCAGGATAGATAACGAAATATCATAGTATAAGCAAAACGTGATTTATGACAAACAGCGAATTAAGGGACCCCGCAGTACCAAGTATACCTCAAGACCCCATCCTCAGCTCTGTTCGTTACGCCACTGCATGAATATAATAGCAATTTAAATATGTACGTGCATCTAGTCTAAAACTAGAGCCGGAGCAACAAGATCCTCAGTGCCCCGCTTACAAAATTGTCTTATTTCCTTAAAAAGGTATCTTTGTCTCCCCAGATCTAAGCCATCTGGCTCGATCGTTGCTGGCATGTTGAACGGTGGCAATTGCATAAATATAACTTATACATGGCATAAATATAACTCATGCATTGTAAATATTTATTTAGACTCTTAATTCACAAAAAAATACTTATATATATTGATATATGCACATTTCAGCACAATTCACTCCCCATGTATATTTTGGTTGTAATTTGATTTCTCTCGACTTGCTCCTCGAATCGGAAACGTGGAACGCGGAGAAGGCTCAAATCGTATAAATGATAGAGACTGTATGAGAGTAATGAACCTATATCAATGATGTTCATTGTGTGACTTTTTTATTACAAAAAAAATTCCGTGTTTTGTGAGGTTGAGTTTTGCGCTATGTTTTAAAGTGCGTGCAGTCCTTCATTGCGCACAACTGGGCTGACACAAGCCCAAAGGGCAAGTTGCCAAGCTAACGTTTACAAACATTTAAGTTTGACCTTTCAGATATTTTGCCACATATATTTCGCTATATATAATTCATCAGAAAAGGAGCATTGGAATTTATCTTGCTTGGACAACATATCAGCTGTTGGGCAACAGGAAAATTTTCACTAATTTTGATTTGGCCTCCCTTGATTAGAAATTACATTCCGGATATTAAATTGCAACTATGCATGGTCATTGTACCTTGAAGCCTGCCAGCTAGAGCGGCAAAATGAGCAAATTTGAAATGGCGCCTGTCAACTGTTTATGCGTGCATGAGCGCGCGGGTAAAGATCTTTACCAATAATTTCTGACTGTCCCAAATATTTGCTGGATATTAGCATCTATGGAGAAGTCAAGGCGTTTTAACGCAAGCATATATAAAGGTTAATACCAGGTATGAACACTAAATGAAACATTAGCTATGATATAAGGAAAGTCATGACTTGGCCACTTTATTAGGCGCGCTTGCAATTATTTTCCTCCAAGCATTGAAATCAGGCTTATTGATGAAATCATCAACAGAATTCGTATAACGGTTCTCTCGATTTAAACTAAAGTTTTTTTTCCCTTGAGTGTATTTGCTTGGCTAAACTGTAGCTCTCTATTGACCATGCATATATATCGAAATATGACACGCATTCGAAGTAAGATTTCATATAGATGATCATGCAATTGTATATAACAAGACGTTCTCAATTGCATTTTATGTATATGTTAACGCGAGTAAAATGTATTCGGATATAAATGCGCACTGCAATATACCTCTTTAGATTGCTTATCATGGCCGGTGGAATCAAGTTGGGCCACGATCATCCAATCATTCCGAATAAACATGACATGAAAGGTTGCCAGACATTGAAAATGGCTTGGCTGAGGTTAGAAAAGTTGTTAGCTTGGGCCGTGGTGGTTACAATTTATAGGATATATTTACTTACATTGAAACAACAATTGTTTACAAACTTTGCTGACATTTTTCATAAAAAAGGGGTAGATGCTACCTCGAAATATATATAATTATATGATATAAAAAGATTTCGCCAGACAAAATGGATTAATGCTTTCATGCATGTCTTAAATAATCTTGATTAGTTAATTTTACTGTAAGCAGGAGGCACAAATTGTGTCACAAGTAGATGTCTCGAAGATGTTGAGGATCGTTTGTTTCTTAAAATGGTGAGTATAAACTCCCCTGTGCATGCATTTGGCATTGTCGTTTCTATATGGGCGGCAGCATTGCTATATGCTTTGCAGAAAAAATTATTTGCACTCTTTGTGATTTAAAAACCCGGTTTCTATATGGGCGTCTGCTATTGCTATATGCTTTAGTGAAAATACTGTGCAATCTTTTCTTGCTGCCGGGGTTGAGTATTAAGTTGTTTTGCAGGGCGGAACTGAATTCGGACCTTCGGGATTGCGGATTGCCGCGGTGGTTTGAAATGAAGATTTCGAAAATTATCCCATTAATTTACGCGCGTTCTATTTCTTTAGGTCACTATTGTTAGGCTCATGCAGGTAGCATAGGTATTTACACAGTTACCTATGTAGATGGTCGAATATTTGGGGAAAATAAAATATTTCCTGATGAATATGACCACCAGGAATTTAGTTAGCTAATTTAATATCACAAGTAACACATGCATATGTGGTCGTATGGTCACAAAACATATCACTTACATGAAAAAATATGGCGGCAGAAATAGGGACATTGCAGCTTTAGCTTTGCGAAGAAAATATGGCGATGGTGCATGCAGTGGATAAAATAGATTATTATCAAATTTTTAAATATTCTTAAGGTATAATGATGCCCTTAGTTGCTACTGACAGTACTGTGTATAGGCGACATTCCGCGACAAGCTTGACCGCAGCTAGAGGCTATTGCCGCACGGAACATATTGTGAGCACTAGGTAAATATCCAAGCTTATATTTTAAATATTTTATTACCGCGCAATGCATTGCTGAAATTGAAATGTGGATTTTCACGTGCATAAATGGTTGGGATATTTAATGTAGTAGGCTATTTATACCAAATAAGTTTTGACAGCATGCAAGCACATGTTACTACGCTGGTTCGTATACAAACGAGCTTTGCGTATGCGATATTCTGTATAACTGTTATTAATGTCTGGTTATCATCTGTAAACAACTTAATCCTTGCGATAATTAATTTAGTCGTTTGCGCGTCAAAGAGTATAAGCAATAGTGTACAATGGAATCTCTTGTGTTTAGTTTAACATAAAATATGTATCCAGTAGCTGAAACTCAACCAAACTTAGACGGTGACCAATGACATTGCCTATGATATTATTATCGAAGCCAGGCCATTTATGGCAATCTTCGTTTACTCTCGGTTTAGAGCCGTGTTAATAAAACGGATGCATGCATGATGTGTTTATATGTCCTTAACCACCCATACATATAGTTTGTCCGTGGAGAGATTTACAAAATCTGTTACGTTGTTGCAAATAAACACACGCTGAATATTTTGATGGGTATAGTTGCAGATGATGCATTGATTAATTTGACGTAACGATGATAATTTGTACTAATAACTGAAGGCTTTCTAACGATTAATAAACCCGAATTTTGATGCAAAATGCAAATGTATATATGTATATAAAGTATAAAATAATGTGATTTAGGTAGTTTAGCTAATAAATTTAGTTAAACATTCAAATGAAGGTATAGCTATTTATATGTACACGCATACTTGCGCCAACACATGTTACGTGTTTGAAAATATTTCCTATTCTTTTAATTAGTCAATAATATCTTGCGTCAATCATACGCGCAACAGGCGTTCAGACTAATTCGTTAAAACCGTTCATAAACATAAATCGTTCAAACGGCTTCAGATTGAACGTTTATTTATCCGTTCGTATTCTCGACTTTAAACGTTCACATTTTTAGCTGAATTCGTCAAAACGTTTTTTGGGTTCGTTGAAACGTTATTACAGATCGTTCACTACCCGTTCGTTATCCGTTCGTTTTGCCGTTTCAACGAAATATCGTTAACGTACGTTTTCCCGTGGAAGGTCACATATTATAATGATTTCGCAAATATCCATAGCTTTCTAAATCTTTCGAACTGCAAAGTACAGATTATTACACTAGCTCACAATCTATACAATGCCAGCAAGAAGAATCTGGGTAATGCGAATAATCAATACAACAAATGAGAATATGAATAGGCTCGAAATTCTAAATCGATTTGACGGGCGACGGGCGAATGCAAATATATGCTAATAACAGCAGCCTCAAAGCCTAGGTAAAATATATAAGCTAACAATAACATAGTTAAATTATCGGACCATTGTTTATATGAACTTATAGTATTATCAGAGTATAGTTTACATAAACATCAACATTGGATAATTTACCTTATAACAGTACACTTCTCAATTCGTCGAACACATGCGAGTATATTAATATTTAATACGAAAACACCCATCTCTCGACGACATGTTATTTAATAGTGTCATGAATATAGCGCCCGCATAACTGCTCTATACCGGTTTTTCTTTTGAATTCCCTTACAAAGAACTATACATTCGACTGCAAAACACGGGCTCTGATCGCTCATGATCGGTGATATTCCTCATGGTCAAATATAAGTGCATAATATAAATACATAAGAGATGCCTGCGGAGGAGGCTAGTCTCTGACTCTGATCGCTTGATCGGTCGTGATCGGTCAGGAATTAAACAGCCAATAAGAAATGAAGATCAGACCAACCTCCAAAACGATCACACTTTGTGTCGCCATGGAAACTATCGATCTGACCAATCAGATTGATGAAAAACGCCCATAACCAACCTCTAAAACGATCAGACCACACCTCCAAAACGATCACCATTTTTGTCTCCTTGGAAACCACCGAATGGGCCAATCAGATTGACCAGAAACGATCAGGCCAAACCTCCAGAACGATCACGATTGTGCAGTTTGAAATTTGAATTCAGAGCGGGGATATCAAGAGAGATCAGTGTTAATTTAATTAATTCGGCCAGAAAATTAATTATGCCGCTGCAAATTTACAACTGGACTGCGTTCGGAAAAATGAATATTATTTCACTTTCATTGAATTAAATTAGTGCGGAATTTTTACGTTAGTCGCGTGATTGGTGTGACTTCCCCTAGATCCGCCCCTGGGCTGCTAGGTTTTCTGTCCTCCAGTAATTTACAATTTTGAGTTAGTCTGACGATTGCCAAGGAGAGGAAGGATCACCCTATCTATGTCCTGTGTGTACCAAGAAATCCGGTATGGGCATTAACTCCGGCTATGTAGACGGTAAATACCATAAGTATACACTGCATGGAAACTGTACATATACACTGTAAGCCTACATATACACTGTAAGCCTACAACAGTAGCCCAAGTAGTTATGTACAATCATACATCTGTTAAGTATTTTTCTTACGCAAACTATATGATAAAACAAACTATGTGACAAAAAAGTTTTATTTCATAAGATCGAGATACTTGAAGGACATACATTTAACACTGGCGATTTTAAGATATTTCATTATTGGTTGCTGCTAACAAGGCCCTTGTTGCTCATTGTTTGATATGATTCCATGTTAAAAACATAGTTTTATTTATTCGCATGCACACGAATTATCCTGCAAATTTCAAATACTCTTACTCAGTGTCATACCGAATTGTATTCAAATTGCGAGACAATCGAGTGACAATTGACCGTTAATTTGACAGCAATCTTTTTCGCCAAAATTTCTATTAGAAAAATAAAGAGAATAATTACATCTTGTGGGATACGGATGCCTAATGTAGAAACACAAGGCGTTTGTTTCACGCCCCTAAAGAAATATAATTTATCTGTTTACAGACAGACTGTCTCTGTTGTTCAATGCAGTTCAGATAATGATCAAAGATTAAATAATTTGTTAATGATATAGCTATATACATTAAGTGTTAAGGTGAATTGATTTATATACTCAGATTCAGTATGCATGCATATGTTACTTACTAAAAGGGTTGTTATTCGTCTATACCAAACTTGCAAACAATAGTCCGGTAAGCGGTGAGGTGTGTGGGCTCATTCCTTTCAATTGTCAGTTCGTTATTTAGACCAGTGTTCCTCAATTCGAGAACGACAATCAGGGTCGTAGCTAGAAGCTTAATTGGGGGGTGTATATTCATATATTCATCTTATACTCGACTGATTTCTTTTGTACGCCATTGTTCCTACGGTATATACACATGAATATATGAATATACCCCCCAATTAAGCGGTCTAGCTACGGCCCTGACCACAATATGACGATTGTTTTAATTTTATCAACCAACTACACAACCTAATACAGATACAAGTCGAACACAATTATAAAAATTAATCACTTCTCGATGCTGGCGACGGCACTTAGCGCGAATACTTGTATTGGTTAGTATTTAATAATAAAATTTTGTATTGTATCACAGCAACAGCTAAAAGAAAATAATGGCAATTAAAAAGCATTCTACGACATTGATGAACTTTATCGCGTTGGGGAACACATTCGCCCGTTTTTTAACTTTCTAAAATGCGATGTAATTAAAGCTAGAGTCTTTATGAACCAGCTCTGACGTGGGAAATTGGCGATGCTTGCCAACAACCAGCAGAAATTGGATCTGTAAGGTACCTAATATGCTCGGAGTATATACTTCGTAACACCAAAATTAAAATTTTGAATCAAAAACTAATGTAGAAGTTACTAACCAACTTTTTATACTCAATCTGAATCACCAGAAACCCATTTTGGGTTTATAAGCACTTTAAAGATGGATAAAATTGATGATCTTTTGGACGTTGAAAACATGACATCTCAATCGTGGGTTATATAGAAATATTGGATTTTTAAATTAGCCCTACGTCACTGTAAGTCACGCATACTTGGCATCCATATTGGTCTGCATTTCTTGCCAGGTTTAGTTGCTCCTGGATGATCTTTGCTCTATCTTCATCAACTTTCGTAGTTCGCTCGACCTTCTTTTTTCACGGTTTTCCCGATGATTTTTGACAGCCGCAGTAACGGCAGCTATTTCCGCGGCAATTGTTACGGCAAATGCTATCCCGTCGATACGCAGCTGCTGTTGAGACTTCGGCAGTTTTAGTTTCCGTCTCGGCTGCAGCGAAAACGCCCTCATCAGTTTCAATATCAGCTTCAGCGGCCTCGATTGATTTCCTCTGATAATTCTGTGCCCAGGCGGGTTTCCGCAATTGAAGGAAATTTCCTTCAAAATGACAACCACTCGGGAGGGAAGAATGATTCTTAATAGCATAATAATTATTCATGCATTCTTTTCACAAGTTCTTTCTGTCTCTCTTTGAAGTGACTTCGTTAATAAAAAGGGTAAACGGTTTAATGTATTGCCTAGAAGGTCAAATAGCAATCCTTTTTCTTCAGTTGTAAAGTAACATCTTACTAATCATTACCAGAAAATAGTCAACAGATCATGCAGTGACGCATTTCATAATTCTACGCCCTTGCATGGTAAAAACAACTTGAAACTACCGAACTTTGGCCGTTCACTTTTGAACCTTTATGAATTTTAAAAAGATTTAAATGCCAACGGTAACTAGACATAATTTTTATTACACACGACAGGTTTATAGGTTATAAGTTATAGAGATTCCCTTGTTTCTCCAAGCTTTATATATATTACTTAAGCTTACCATAACACACGGGTGGATCCAGCACTATAGTGCACTAATTTGCATTACAAAACAAAATGGCTATTTTTAGCAGTTTTCTTGCGTCATGCAAATTAGTGCACTAGTGCTGGATCCAACCCTGCCATAACACCATGTAGATACTAGTTTACGTCATACAAAATTGCCAATCATGCAGAGTCGTGTATTTCTGAACTAGAATTTAACTTTGCAAAATGTGGCTAAAGAGTTTTATACAAGCGGCTCCTGTAAGGAAAGTTTGAAAAGTTAATATTAAATTTACACAAAAGTTATCGTACAGTTTTGCACAGCATATTTATCTCGATTCAAGATTTCCATGCGAGACATGAACACGCTTAATAAAAGAGGAAAGAAATACGATAAATTCATCACAACGATTAAAGCATTGGCAAGTAAATGTCGTCGCCAGTATCTCGACCAGACAGTTTTGATGGCGATGTTATACAACCAAATCTGAAGAAAAGTTGAAAGCCAGGCAAATACGAATTCAATGGCTAAGCCAATTACAACACGAGGGTAAATTGTCTTGATTTCTTCACTCAAGGCAACATCAAATGTGCTGAAACGATAAAGCATCATATAAACTTGACTCAAAAGGAGAGTTCCAAATTGAGACAACATATCTTGTATTTCAAGATCTGCTTGCAATCTTCTGTTGTGAGGTGAGGAATATGGAACTGGATTCCAACCATCTCTTTTAAATAATCGTAGCGTACGACCCCATAAATTTTCACGAAAATGTCGCGTTAACTAAAGTTAAAATTATATGCAATATAATTAATAATCTTCTTTAATATTCCGATTTTAATTTCATGTTATCACGTGATGCATGCGTGTAAATCAACGTTTGACGACAATTATTTTTTATTTAAATAATCAATTTATTAAAAACACCTTGTCATTTTTACAAGTGTACTCTGTGAATTGTGTAAATTCCATGTTTTTTGGAAAAAAACAGTTAAAAATTAGAAATAATATGGTTTTTACTGAAGATATGTGCAATAGAAATCTTGCTTTCACCAGCCAGGATTCTCTTACTTTAACTTTATTTACAGTCTTTGTTAGGGAAAATGCTTTTATTAAAATGTTCCCTTCTAATAACTCATGTTTAGTACTGGAAGGGCTGAGGTTTTTTGTTTATTTTTGGGCAGTTGTTATACGGCATTTCATGCAAAGTTTGGGAAACGCTGCCACGCTGATCCCTGGTTACATGAAGAAGATGCAGATTGTATGAAGAAAGAAACGTACCTGAGCAAAGATATTGAATATTCCGTGCAATAAGGAAAAAGCTACAAACAATCTTAATTCGGTTAGTTCAGCCTGCATGATCCGGTACAAGGCGACAGGAACCAAATAATTGAAGTAAGCCAGAATATACGACAGGTCAGGTGACACAAATCCAGAACAGTGACACAACACCAAGTACTTACTTACTGCAACTGGGATCAAGGCGATGAGAGGAAAAACGCCAGCAATCATTGCTTTGTAAATTTTATTTGTTTGTTGATTAAACCAAGGAACGATTAAATGACGATAAGAAATTGCCATGAGGAAAGAGAATACAAAAATCTGTCCAATTCTCAACACAATGCTTGTTATTGATTGTCTTGTTGCATACGCAATTTGAATACAACTCAGTATGACGCCGAGTAAGAATATGAAATTTGCAGGATATCCTTTGTACGTATCAATAAAGTTGTGGTCTGCGGTGAAAATAAACATACACATCTTGTATATGACTGCTAAAAGTCCCATTATTAAACCAATGTAGAGTAAGGATCTGAACTTTTTAAGAAATTCTTTTCCACCGAATAATAAAGCGATTGTCGCCTGAAACCAAAAGTTGAGTAGCAATACTTGAAACGATTTACCAATTAATTTCCGCTTCATAACTTGGAATGGAATAGATTTATTGAAATAGTGTTGAATGCCAATACATTTATCACTTGTTTCAAGGTCCAGATAAGCAAAAACACCAGCAAAAATGCTGATAGCTATCGCTGATAACATTATACTTGCAACTGTACGGAGACTTTGACAAATCGATGTCAAGAAGCGACCTCTCTTTGCCTTGTGTGGCACAAACCAATTAAAAGGGACTTCAGCAATAGTATTTGTTAAAACATCGCAGTTGTTAGTGCCGTAGAAACTTGCTGTATTTTCCAAAAGACTTCTTGATTGTTCTGGGTCTGTTTCGGGAAATTCTTGATATTCGAAGTCTACGCCAATGAGCGGTGTTGGTACATTCAATAGGTTTTTATTGCTCTCTTCGTGAGACGAGGATTTCTGCCTCGATGACCAGTGAACTTCGGAAAACATCACTGGTATGCAACAACATAGAAGATCGACCAACTGCTCTAAGAACATCGCTTTTACGTTTACAGATCTCCGGAACTGCGGAATATGTATTTACGCAGGTAAACTTTGTGATTGCGTATTCGTATCCAGCAACGCAAGTTGTGAAGGTTAGATATCGAAAATCATGGTTGAGCAGTTTGGTAATCACACGCCTGACCGCAGGATAAACACTGGATTTATCAGGAAAGATTTCTTTAATAGCCAAATTAAAAATATAATTTGAAGAATTTTGCATAACACAACAGCGGCTGGAGTTATTTTAGGAATACACCGTTCATGTCAACTCAAAGAGAGTGCTGCATGTACACTGCAGAGTGGGATAACGCGTTATTTTCCATGGGAAATAACAACTTTAATCACGTGCGGCGCATATTTTGCTGTTTACCTTGTTGTTTGGTTTTTCTTTGACAAATGGTATATAATAAACAAGACGCCTGTTCTGGCGTTAACTCCGGCGTGCCGAGCACGTACCAGTCTTCAATATATCTTTTATATGAACATAAACAATACACTTCATATTCATTATTGCCTTGCGTACGTAAATGTTGTTCGATCGCGACATTCAGAAGCACATCGTACTTTAAAAGGCATAGAAGTTCAATTGTTCAAAAATGTAAATAAACCGCGTGACACTTTGTCTTACCCTTTCGAATTCGCGCTTATATTAAATCTTAATTCAATCCTGTGCAAATTGCGACGTGTCAACGCGCCCATACACGACCACATCTTGCATGCTTAACGGCGAAATAGAATCTACATGTATATTTAATATATTAATTCTTACGCCAATTTAACCTAAACCTAATCGAACAGCATCATCGACCCTGGTTGAACACTCGGTTGAACACTCGGAACAGCACCATCGACCCAACCTCGTACCCAGGGTCTTTAAAGACCCTGGGTACGAGGTTGCCATCGACCCTGGTTGAACACTCGGTTAAAAAAAATGATAAATAGCCGTCAAAAAGCTTTCTCTTCTGGAAATAGAATCCTATATAAAATGCTGAGAAATAAAGTTAATCGGGAATGTAAACATTGTAGGAAAACCTATTATGAAAGTAAAATTGGTCAAATGAAGGACTCTACGCCCAGAGATTGGTGGAGAGAGGTCAAAAATCTTTGTGGTATTAATAAAAACACTCGTCGTGACCTAAGATCCCTTTTACACCCTGATCTTGTGTGTGATGATTTTACTCTTACGAATAACATAAACAAAGCGTTTATCAGCGTAATGAATGATTACTCGCCTTTGACAGATTATACATGCGTGGATGCGGTTGATGATGAACCTTTGTATGTTACCGAAGAATCTGTGGCAAGGAAACTAAGAGCGATTAAGATATCTCGCGCCAGTGGACCGGATAACCTTCCAAATTGGGTGCTCAAAACGTTCTCGGACATTATCGCAAGTCCTATTACTGATATATTGAACACCTCATTTACCGAATGTAGAGTGCCTAACGCTTGGAAACTCGCAGATGTTTGTCCTCTGCCAAAGTCGTCTCTCATTTGTGATTTTAACAACGACATCAGACCAATTTCTCTTACGTCGACTCTGTCGAAAGTTGCAGAAAGCTTTGTGATTGATATGGCTTTAAAACCGGTTATGTTGT